TCGTGTACAATACAGTATGATGTCTAATAATAATTAATAAAATCTACGTACACTGTACATTAATATGCATATAATCGTTGTCTGATTCGGTAGATCTATCCCAAAATACAGTTTCAGCAAAACAGGTGTATGTGCCATTGTCAGTTCGTGATATGTTTTCTAGTTCAAGTGTTGATCCAAGAGAAGTAGAGCCATCTGGATGTATCCATATTATTTCCGCAACAGGATTTGAATCAACTAAACATTCAGCAATGTACATGTCTCCCTCAATTACTGTTACATCAGTTTGGTTTGCTATTTTGACATTCGGCGAATCTGAAACAAAACTCATTATGTTGACATGAAACGGGTGTGAACACGTCGTCAGAGTAGTGCAATTAAAGATATTAAGTTTAATTATTGTCTCTTGTAATTAAACATGATAATGTTGTTATTCTACTAATATTTTGTCAATATTGATTTAACAAATCAATCATTGAACACAAAGCCCATAATACTAGGCTTTATTTGTGTGAATAAATATATTCTGGGTGTTGTTTGTTTCAAATTATTCGTGTTCATCTAGTAACTGTAAGTAAGCATTCACTACAATAAGTTAAATTTCGAAAGTTTAAAATTAACTTTATAATAACATTTGCTCACATTGCACGTCAATGTAAATCGTGCTTACACCGACTCCTTCAGAATCATCCCAAAAAGTGTTTCTTGCCTGACACGTGTAATTTCCAGAGTTATCCCTGGAAAGCGATTCAAAAAGTATGCTTTCCTCATTACTGATAATATGCTTATTTGGACTTAGCCATAAAAATGAGTCTACATCTGGGTTAGTCTCTAAAACATAGCATATGACTGCAAAGGAATCACCCTCTATCACAATGCCGGAAGTATCAGCATTCCCAGTCACAATTACTTTAAGTACAGGGTCGACTGAAAAGATAGGATGCGAAATGCGGTGAGACAATTTTGAAAATGAAGTGCGGTTGTAAGGGCTAAATATACTAGTCTTCTAGTCTTCACAAATGAATATCAGTGAATGTGGGTTTCAGAAAAATATGAAGTTTACATTGAACATCCATGACTATCTTCTCTTCACATGATACTAGTGACCATTTCGGACGGGGTAAAGTATAATGTTCCAGCTGACAGTCATATACATCATTATTGTTGTCTTTATATAATACTGTCGTCCATATATTTTCCATACCAGTCTTTCTCATAACCTCCGCTTTATTTCTGTACCAAACTAAATCACCAGGTGCAGTGTCATCTAAGTCCATAATGCAGCTTAATGTGACGTTGTTTCCGGTAGTTATGGTACTACTTGGATAAACAGTGCAATTTTGTTGGCTGTCTAATAATGAAATATTATTAATAAAGAGTCAGGCATTATAGACATATAGTTTCCAAGTCCAAGTTGTTGAATTTGACAATTGCACACGGTTCCCTGTTGATGCCATATGTGTTTTGTAATTAAATGTGTAATATCATTGAAACAACAGCAAGCAGCAGTTATCAGTACTATGCGTAATAGTTATTGTAGAAATTATTATGAACCATTGTTTAGCGCAGTACGCCAATTAACTCCCGACGAAAGTCGATATTCACACCCGTTATTGTCGAACCTTATAGAAGAATATATATTAGTGTTCTACTGTCCCAACGGGCTCATGGGTGGTCGCTTATTTGGACGCGGCGTTGCCTCCAAGTATTACCAAGTTTATTACCTTTGGTGCGTTACATTCAACAGTAACATGTGAAATATTTTTTTCGACTTTTGCCTGAGTGAATATATTTTTTTTAAATTACCCTGTATTTGTGAGTACAGATTGACTGTAAAAGGCGCGTTCATAAGATAGTGGTTTTGAAATATATGCAAATATTTAGTGAGTATCAATGACAAGATCGAAATGACATTGTGTGATTAATTGGCTTTGGTGATATTTGTGGGATTACGATTTTATTTGTTTAACGTATTTGTCAAGGGAAATACTCATTGTAAAATATTTTGTACACAGCATTGAAATTGCATTATTATTATGCTTTACTGGGTTGTGTACCTCGGCATTCTCATATTCAACAGTCAGGAAAACTACGTAATATGAATATTGGTTGACAATTACAAAGAGATGTGCTGACGCATGATACACGCTTTTCATGTACACCTTTATCAAGAGCACTTTCATTATCCACTTTAAGATAATCTACTAATATTGAACAGATATGGAGTTATACTAATTTTATGAAAAACGTGTCAACGTCAAGAAAAGTATTAATGCACATTGGTTTACCATACCTATTACAAACAGATTTGCTGACGCAGCATTAATGATATTGTACGCATCCTCGCAACTGAAAGAGTCTTCGTCTTCTTTGTCTGCATCATATATCCGTAAATTAAACTCATTCTCTTCACCAACAACCTCGTAGCCACTGACACCAGGTAAGAGGTCATAATCTTCTGTTATCACTAAACCACCCTTGCGCCAATACACTTTAACTGGAGCACTGCCGTCCACAAAACTACAGTTCAGCTGTGTATTGTGGTTAATAATTACAAGGCTGTCAACCGGCGTCTCATCAGAAACAACATCCGGTGTGACAGCAGTGATGCATGTACCTGCAAAAAGTATTTTATATTATAACATTGCTACTGTTTACATTTGAGATGCGAGCGAAATATTTTGTATTCCTTTTTGTGTCTTTGCACTAAAATGTTCACTATAAATTGCGATATTTGTGGCCATGTGGACTTTTTTGAGTATGTTGGAAATATAGATGAATAATTATTTTTTGCTTAGTTTTACATGTGTGCCGTGTTGGCTAAAGACTTGTACGACTATTAGAACTTATAAAAAAGAGATTTAAATATTAACACACTCATGTTTTTGAATTTTCGTTATCTACGTTTGTGATATTGGTGCATACCTAAATATCTTCCAGAGTTAGTGTTCATTAGATTTCAAATAAGAATACTATAGGTGGTGTTTATCCTACGCAAAAAAACAACAGGCCAAAGTCTATGCTGTTTAAGTTTTGAATCAAACACGTTAGACATGAGTGGCGAATTTGCTTGATCGTTTATCCAGCAGGTTGTTACAGACACTTACAATAAAGTGGCAAAAACTGTTTTGTAAAATGTTAAGAAATAATAAATTAAATCGAGATTCTGACATAACCTTACAGAACTAAATCATACTTATCAATCTTTATGTAGAAACGTCAATTATGCTGAGCGTTTGGGTACTATGCATTTTTCCAATTTTACGGTGATTTGAGCGTTTTAGTAGTATGTCCCACTTGTTAAATTTCAACAGTGTCAAACTAAGGCATTGTTTATTAATGCAAATGACCACGAACCCGCATATACACCTTAAATAATAAGTTTGTTTGATATTGTGCGCAAGCAGTACGACAATTTAACTGTGTATCATGCTTAATAATTACACGACTGTCATCTGGCGCCTCGTTATGATAAACCCCCGTGCCTCCAACTATAACGCAAATATATTATAACTATTAGGGTGTTACAGATGTAAGTGGCGGTAATGTGGGTGCTGATGCTCATATCAAGTATGTGGTTTTCAGTTACTGCTGCATTATCAGTGGTAATGTATTACGATAAAAGTATCATACCTAGAATTGTAAACCAATAGCACCAATAACGTCGTGTGGACATATTTAGTTCCGATGTGAACTAGTGCTGTGTTACATTCACCGTAATAGTATATCACCGATGTGGGACGTTGGTGGCAGTGTTATGTATGATTTGCCATACAATGATTGTTGATTCGATGTATTATTTCCGTTTTGTGAATGTTTTTGGTTTTTGGGGAAAACTTGAAAACAATTGATTTTGACAAGAAATCTCATAATGAAATGCATTTAATATGCACACATATGAATATTTTAATAATTACCAATTACACAAAATTACCAATTACTACAGAAAAAGATTCATTCTCTACATTCTCGATATTTTTGCATTTCATCTGTCTGAACTTTGACTGAAAGAATCTGAATGAAATTACAACACATGTATAAACACTAACTTAAAAAAACGACATAATTTCACAATGTCGAAAGCATAATGTCTGAATCGTAGTGTTAACTCAGAATTAATGGTCACCTCCAAACAGAAGTGTGAAAGTACGCCCTCTATCTACCTGTCTGTCATCAATATCAGGACTTCACTTGTACCATGTAGCAAGTTTTACAAAGATTGGTTGGTTGATATTGCATAAGTCGCAGATTCGCTAAAATAATTATTAATCGTAGTTAGCGCTATTATGTTTGTATGAATTTGAAGGTGTTAACTAATTATAAATTGAAAAAAATATAGGGTATGGAATTGAACCTTGTGGTATTGGATAGTATTGGATAAATAATATTTAAACCTTGCCCGCGTTATAAATAAAAAAGCTAAATAAAAAAGTTACCTCGTTAGGTTACCTCGCTTCTTACCGTTTGAAGTAATGTGAACATCACGTTCTATCATTTTCATCTTTTCATCATAATATCACAGTTTATTTTGTCGACAAATGAATGTAACCCAGGCAGTCGTTAAATTCCTTTTCTTGTGTTTTAATCGATTGTAGTCGATTTCGAAAAATAGGTGAACGCAGAAAAGAAAATTCTTTTGCCTTGAAAGCGTCCCCCGCTGACCGCCGTATTGTAGTCGGTGAAAATGGTGGACCATGTGGAGATACAACTGTAAGTGTTCATTTTATTTCATATAAAAAAGAAGTTTCAATGCAAGTAATAATTCACGCATAGCACTGTATTAAAACATACAATATTTAAATGATAAATACATGTCCTATTCACCTGACTCTTTATGTTGGGAGTGCATTTTATATAATTATACGCTTAATTATTTTTACACAAAATCAATGCGCAATCAGGTGCGTATGAGTGTACGCGTGTGCACATGTTATGTTTGTATGACGTGCATAATTCGTATTGATAGTTCACGCTACAAATAAATAACACCAATATAAATTATAAAGAACAGCACCATCGCCGATAACATTCCACTTATCCGTTTGCGTGGTTGAACTAAACATGTCGAGAAACAGAAGATCGGATCAAAACTATTATTGGTGTATCTTCATTTTAGGTAGAGTAACTGTATATAGGCTATTTTATTGACTATTGAACATTCAATATCTTGTCAAGCCCATTATTACATGAGACATGATATCGCACACTCGCATTGACATATTTGGTTTAATATGTCGATCATAGATTTTGAGTCATGTTATTCAGATATTGTTCTGTAAAGCGGTCACTCTTCGTTCGCATTGATTTCGGGGTTTTTTTGTAATGCTTTTTAAAGCAACACAATGTCAACTCTGACACAAATGACCATGTACCCCTCTGCTGACAAAAACAGTATTATTTGACATTGTGTTTCGTGTAATTTACAAGTATAGCTAATAAGTAGCTTGTGATACTCCGTTTGGGGGAAATTTAACATTAGCTTATTTTTTACCATATTTAAATAGTGCTATACGTGTTATATTTCACAAAACAATAGAAAATCACATCCTTATGTTTTTATCTAGTTGACAGTTATAACAACATTCTCATAAGTATTAACATAGTCTGAGGGAAAACAAATTGCCAGAGGCACTACAAATAGTATGTCACAGTGTACAGTGGGAATTACAGTACCAAGCACATTTCAAGAAAGGATTTGCAGTTTCTTTTACAGGTACATGCATCACTTCTGTCATATCGGATGTTGTTTTTGATGAGACGCCGGTTGACAGCCTTGTGATTATTACCCACGATACGCAGCTGAACTGTAGTTTTGTGGACGGTAGTGCTCCGGTTAAAGTGTTATGGCACAAGGATGGAGCAGCAATAACAGACGATTATGACCTCTTACCTGGTGTCACTGGCTACGAGGTTGTTGGTGAAGAGAATGAGTTTAATTTACGGATATATGATGCAGACAAAGAAGAAGAAGACACTTTCAGTTGCGAAGATGCTTATAATAACAATCATGCTGCGTCAGCAAATCTGTTTGTAATAGGTATGGTCAACCGATGTGCAATAATACTTTACTTGACTTTGGCGTAAATAAGAAAATAATGAAATACACGTTTCTCATAAATATCTGCATACCTTCATATATGTTAAAAGATTGTAGATTATGTTAAAGTAGATAATGAAAGTGCTCTTGATACAGGTGTACGTGAAAAGCAACAGTGGATACACCATTGCCTAATATTGTATTCTCCTACAGCGCTTTAAGAGCCAAAGACGTCTCTCTTACACGCAAAACATCAGTTGCTTGGAAATTCGTTTACACGAGACTTAAAAATAAACTTAATAGCCGGGGAGAGTGAATCAAGACAATAAAATTAACGTTAAATAAGCTTTTAGAACGTAGCAATTTTGAAACCCTCATGTCGCTAAAACTAAATAACGTATTTCACTTATTTTTGTTGAAA